CTGTAAATGCAAGGAAGGGTTTGGTCCGAAGCACACATGCTTAGGGCAGGGCAGATCATATCGGGACTCGTGCATAGACCTGAAGCTGTCTGCAGGCTCCTGGGGAGGCTTTTGTGGTTTGAATAGAAGGAGCTGGAGCGGGCGGCCGATGCCTGGAAGCGCAGCCTCTGCGCCAGCCCGACCACAGTCCTGCGATTGTTCAGTCACACTGGAGGGAAGAGAGGGGGGGAAAAAAAAAAGGCATTCCAAGCAGTGCCAAATTTTCTTTGATATGTTAATCTTTTGATAACAGTTTGAAAAGCCCTTGGAGACTTTTTTTAGATTTTAGACAAAATAGTTCATTTGTCAGGACTTCCCTTGTAGATAGGGTCTCAGTTATTAAGAACTGCCTCGCTAACTCGTGATAACAAAAGCAAGTGCAGAGGACAGCTGCTGGACTGCTGGTTGGTAAGAGAAACTCTTTCAGCTATCTTGGGAGTTTTACAAGTGAAAAGAAAAAAAGAATAAATGAGGGAATGTTTAAGACACAAGTTTGTAAGTTTATTTGGGTGTATTTTAAGCAGATGAATAATGACAGAGCATAAGTAAATGTAACAGCTTGGTAATTTTTTAATGCATATGCATACATGGATTTTACTAAAGAGCTGTCAAAGTTATGTTTTCATCTGAGAAACCTGATATTTAAATTACCCGGTGACTGCAGAAGATCTCAGGAGTTTCTTCTTTTGTAGCTGTAATCTTTCCAGACCTTGGCATTTTTCTCTTGAAATTATGAAACTTTCAGTTAAACTGGAAAGCCAGAGGAATAAACTGATGGCAACAATGTATGGATGCTAAAGCAGAATTAGTTTTTAAGGATTATAGACTTGAGACAAATCTGAGAACATCGGGAAGGTCTCTTTGCTTCCTGTCTTCCAAATCAAAAATGAAGGGTAAAATCTGCACTGGTATCTTGTTGATTATGCTGTTAGAAAACTGACTTCAGGTAAGGTAGTAGTCCTTAGAAAGAGTGGCTTGCAGAGCTCTTCAGGCTGGCTGAGACTTGACTTACCACAGTTCTTTTTACATTTTCCTGAATAAATATGCCACGAGTTCACTTATACCTTTTATACTGTGGCTACAAATGTTTATTGCCTGTAAATATTTTGGTAGAACTGCTTGGTATCCTGGTTGGTTGGTCAGGATAGATCAGTGAATAGATACTGGTGTAGTAATTCAGAAAAGGTGCAGCATTTTCTTCCCTGGGGGGGGGTGAGTATGTAGTGTTACAGTTCTGTACACTGCTGTCATTTCTTCAGTGATGCAATTTGTGATCTGCTTTAGCTCCAAAATAATAGCAACTTCAACCTGAAACTGCAGGTGCTGTCCTGCCCATAGCCACAGCTACACACTCATCAGGACAGAAGCAAATAGCAAATGCTGTTTATTTTTATGTATTTTTTTTTTCAGAGTTCAGATTTGCTCTTGAAGCTTGGGATTCAAATGAATGCTCTTCAGCGTACTCACAGTTCAGACACTGCTCAGCTGACGCCTCTACCATTTGTTAAATTTATTCCTGTGTTCTAAAATGTTGCAAGGGATTTCATTCTCGGTCTTGGTGGCAAATGGTATTTCTTTTACAGATGTTTTCGATACTTCCTACTTTTGTGACTCTAGAATAGGCTCAGCCATACAGTAGTAGCTCAATGAGTAAAAATTGTGTAAGTGGAATGACTGTAACTTTCACCGTTTCCACTGGTTTTGGCCCCTTTAAAAGGAATAAGTGGTGCTTTTTGGTTGCTGTTTTCAGTTTGTTGAAACAGGAAAGGTTTTCTTTAGCTGTTCACTCCAGGGAACTTGTGCCAGAGAGGCTGAGTGGCAGCCCTTGCATTAGAGGCACTTTATATTTGAATATTCCTGAGTCCACGTTGTTTCTTGTGAGTGCATTTCAACCTCGCTTCAATTCGAGTACTAGTGAAATGTCTCATTCCCTTGTAGTCTGAAAAGTCTAATGTTTATGTTTTAATTAATATTTGAAGTATTGAAATGTTGAATTTCCTCTCATATTATAGAAGTAGAGATGAAGTGCAGGTTGCTAAAGTCTCTTCTGAATTGGTGAGACGCCGCTACTTTCTTCAGTTTGACCCAGCAGCCTGAAGTCACCTCCAAAGAGGGCAACCCTGTGGAGCCCGTGGTGGTGGTGTTCAACCCCAGTTTTCAGCAGGGCAGAGAGAAGGAAAACCCAAAGCAGTTACGTGTTTAAACTCTTGGTGATGAGCTTGGGCTGGTGGTATGCCAAGAGGGGTTGGATTGGAGAAAGGGCGCTGTTCTTCATTGCTGAATAGTAATGATTTTCGTGACCCATCAACTAAGAAAAGATCTGTGATGTTTTCTAAGTTTAGAGATTTGAATTTGAGTTTAATATGGAAAATTACAGGCAGTATGTGAAATACTGAGAATGTGTGTTTTAGCTGAAGGTTGTTCAGTAAATGAGTCTGTACGAAATGATGCAGATGGGAGCTAATGATGTGAGTCAGAAATAGCCTCCTCATGCTCCTCGTGTATTCCCTGTGTGATCCCACCCAGCTGTTCAAAGAACTCATTGAATCACAGGAATTATTGCTGGTGCTCTCCGTGCTGAGATTTCTCTTCATGTTTCTTCAGACCAACAACTTGGTTGCTCCTTCCTCACTGTGGAGCAGCCCTAAATTAAAGGAATTGCACTTCTGTGCTGCTGCTGCGGTGTCCTGTAAGGGGCCTGTTCTGACACATTGGCCATATGGGAATCTCAGTTGGGATTTATTGATCTTGAAGCTCTTTGCATTTATTTCCTTTATCAAGTACGGTTGTTGCTAGAGGTGTTCATCCAGGTCGGAGTTTTGCCTGCGCCGTTTTTGATGTTGCAGTTCACTGTGGTGGGGAAATGAATGTTTGTTTAAGTGCGGACGAGTTCAAGTGTGATAAATTTAATAATTCTCTCGTGAAGCTGTGAACTCCATTAGAAGTACAGTTCTGTAAATACACAAAACTTGTTCTGGCCGTGTGATTTCTTGATTGAAACTGTGGTTTGTGTAGTGTACATAAAGATTGTTCTCAGGAGCTTTCTTAGCAATCCTCTGTAGGTGAAGGACAGTTCAGGAAGTTTCAATGGTGCACATCTTTTGGCTTAATTGCCAAATTAATCTGCATCAAGAACAGCATTCGTCGTGCAGTATTGGATAGTAGTAGAAAACTTTCAGCTTAACAAAGCAAGGAGCGTGTGAGCTGGTGTTCCTGTCGAAGGAACATACAGAACAATATACAAACTGCATCGAGCACTCGAAATGTGGAGTGCTGAGTTGTTTTTCAGCTGTGACTCAGCCTCGTGTTGTGATGCAGTTTGAGTGTGTGTTTCTCCCATTAGGACCTTGTCAGCAGTGGGAGTAGATTTCTGAGGAGACCCAGATTTGGGCAGCAACAGAAACCTCTTCTGCTGGGCTCCTGCTTCATTTGTTGGCGTAATTGGAAAGGAGGTGGTAGCTTGCAGAAACCCCGCGAGGATGTGATGCTGTTGATAAACTGCAGGAGCTGGGAGGAAGGACCTTTGGAAGTTGGCATTGCTGCCGAGTGTAAGTGCATGGATCCAGGGGCTGGCTTTGAGGGGATCTGACTTGAAGTCTGGTGATTCGGTTTGTGAAAATGTTGGGGAGTTAATGGCAGCAAAGAACTTGGTAATGGGCGTGCTTGTATCATAATGCTGCCTAACCCTGAATATCTTGACTAGTGGCATCCTGGTCTTCAGTGGACGGCTGAGATGAAGTTATGTGGATGGCTTTCATCTTGATTTTTAAAAACTGTTTGTAACAGCCTTCTGTCTGAAAAATGACGATTACAGGAACTTCTTGTGCTGTGACAGTGAATCCTTAGTACTCGAGGACTGCTTTTATGTGGTGGTAGTAAGTGCTGTCTTCAGAGAGATTTATATATGCGCAGTAAAATAAAAGCAGAGGCTGTGCAGTGTCAGTGCAGAGAACCATCGTCAGCCCATGCCTTGGCTGGTGAGCGCTGCCTGTTCGGTGATTTTCACTATGGTAGGTGGTCCTGTGCAAATACCATATGAGTGCATGAATTGTCTACAATTAATATATGCAGGGGTGCTCAAATGAAGGTTATATGTGGTTTTAATTTAAAAAAAAAAAAGCTTTTTTGACTTTAACTTTGATTTTCTTTGTTAACGTGGTGGTGAAACTTCTGGTGAGCCTCATAGTATGTTGTAGCCTTTCGTTTGTAGTTCTTCCCTGCTGCAATAGGGATGTGTGCAGTACGTTCATCTCAGAGACAGCTTCATGTTTTTTCATGTCTTCCCCTATTTGTGAAACTTGTGATCATCATTTATCCTCAGAGTCACCGTCAAGATTTGCAACTGTAAGAGATTTACAGCAAGAAGTGAACCCACTGCTACAAATTGAATAGTAGAAGAATTGGAAAGAAGGGCAAAGACTGCTGACCAATGGGCATGTCTTGGTGTAGAAAGACTAAACTGGGGACTAAACTTTTTGTAGCACAGGGCTGTTTTGCTTTTCAGATGAGAAATGCACATCTCAGGGACACAATGCCTTTCCTTGTGACGGGTGGCCCGGCTTCTGGAAACATCTGATTGGAGCTGTTACAGTATGGAATGATAAAAATGCATAATCATGACTTACTTTTAAGTTTAGTTTTGTGGGTTTTTTGGGGGGTTTTCTTCAGGTTTAATTTATTTATCCTTTGTGAAGCTTGCAAAATGTACCAAAACCTGCTTCCTGCATGGAGAATGTAACCAAGTCAAATTGCTACAAGCTCTTTTCCTTGTTTCAAAGCCTGCTATTTTTGCAATATTTCACTTGCATTCATCCAATGTCCAATTTTAAAGCTTTACTAGGACTCCTTGGGCCGTTACTACTGTTTTATGTGTATGCACTTACAGAAAATAACTCAAAACAACCTAATACTTGGGTATAAAATCAGTAACGATGCTTCAATTTTTAATTCTCTTGTTAAAGGTCTTCCATATCTCAAGTCGAGAAGTTCCATATCATACTAAACATGGAGAAAGAAGAAAAGAAATTTGTTAATAAAGCAGAGGAAGATGAGATGGTAAGCAACTCCGTTCATCTATTTTTGTACACTGAAAGAAACACGTTTTCATGGTTTTCTCTCTAAATGGGGCGTGTGACATCAGGAAGCGGACTGTCTCAGTTTAAATCAGCTCAGCAATTTTATAAGGTTATCCTTTAATATTTTTTGGTATGAAGAAATCTAACCTTGGAGTGGGGAATGTTTTTATAGAAAGCCTTTGGAAAGGTTCTGAGTTGGCTGCATTGAGGTCAGCGGTCCAAGAGAGAAAAGATTTTGGTACTTAACTGGTTTTTTTCAAATGAAAATGGAAGCAAAGTTGGGTTTGGGTTTTTGCTTCGTTTCGTTTTCTCTCCAGATCCTGGAGCTTTTCTCTTGCCGTGTAAAACATTAATGCTCCATAATGTGCCTGTACTCTGCATACTCTTGCATATTCATATTTATGCAGATAAGGCCCACTCCCTGAAGCGTGGCGAGGAGTTTTATGGTTATTTGGTAGCACATAAGGTTTGCTTCCCACTGGAGCAATGATATCTCCTATTGTTTGTTCTGGAAGAAGCAGCAGTTAGCTTTGACAGGAAAATATTGGCAGCTTCAAATCTTTCAATTTCTAGCCCATTCTAGAGACAGCAGAAAATATTTGGGATATATAGGAATTTTTGTTTAAAAAAAAGGTAGATTCCTGTGAATGGAAGTCCTCATTCCTTTGGGCATGCTGCTAGGAAAAGCTGTTCTTCGCTAGAGCAGCTCTAACATGGAGAGTAGACAAATACACCTTACAACAAACAGGTGCTCATGGTCTGATCACTACAACAAATGCTTTTCAGAAGAAATCATTTTGGTTTGGCCCAGAAGCAGCACTAACCTCTCCCGCTACCATTGATTCTTATTGGTAAGGAGTGCGTTGGGGCTAACAGATTAAGTTTTATCTCTGCATTTTGTCAGCTGAGAAAGCTTTTGTTAGGAAAGGAGTTTAAACAATTTCTAATACTGTTCAGTGACAAGTACAAAACAAATCCCAAAAAGTTGGTGTCCATATGAACAATTTGGGTGCGACCCAACGGGAAACTTCATTGCCCTTTTGCAGCAGGAAATATAATGTAATGATGTAATGTGAAACTCAGGAGTGTAACACAGCATCTCGTAAGTCACTGAATTATTTTCTGCCCCTGATTGTCGTCAGATTAAGTTGGTACTTGTCTTTGACCAGGCACATTTAATACTTCCTGTGTTTTTTTTAATGGGAGAAGGGATTTTTCCAGCTGGTGCAAGTTACAGAGCTTGCAGTTTGTAGTGTTTCACGGTAGCATTTCTTGTGAAGTTGCAGGCAAAATAAGCCAGTTTCTCTTCTAAAAAGTGGTGTTTGACAAATATATTTACATGCTTGTTTAGAAAGTATGAACTTCTGCTAGCAACACAAACTAAGGCTGTGCTAGCCTTCTAAACAACGCGTGCCAGCTGATCAAATGCTCGTGCATTTCCTCTCAACTTGTGCTGGGTCGTGGTCAAAAATGTGGTCGTTCACTGAGAGTTAAGGCAGGTTGTGTTGCAATCTAAGTCCTGAGGGAGCAGCGCAGAGGAGACGGGTCCTGTAATGAAATGTTATAAACGATGCGTGTGCTTTGCCTTTCTGAGGCTTTTACTGATGTTTGTATTTCTGACTGCACAAAACAGCCCTCCTTTCTGTTGCCTCCCCGTCATGTATTAAGTTTTTAAAATCTTTCCTTCCCCAGACAAGAAAAAGGAGAAAGTGGCTTTGAAATTTGATTCACTTTAAATACCACACTTTATGAAAAACTTCAGTTGGCTTCCCAAGCCAGAGCAATTAAAGAGGGTCATTGTTTGTTGTTTCTCTGTTTCCATGCAGGAGATCTATGGTTATGATCTGTGTCGATGGAAGTTGGTGTTGGTTACTGTAGGAGTGCTCTGTTCTGGTGGCTTTCTTCTCCTCCTCCTCTACTGGATGCCTCAGTGGCGTGTGAAAGCAACGTGCAAAAGGACTGCGCTTAAAGACTGTGAAGTGGTTCTGCTGAGAACAACTGTGAGTGTCCAGGAGGGCGTGCTTGCGTCTCCCAGTTTGCCATTGTTTGTTTCACAGAATCACAGAATGTCAGGTGTTGGAAGGGACCTGGAAAGCTCCGCCAGTGCAACCCCTGCCAGAGCAGGATCACCAGAGCAGTCACACAGGAACACGGCCAGGGCTTTGGGTGTCTGCAGAGAAGGAGACTCCACAACCTCTCTGGGCAGCCTGGGCCATGCTCTGGCCCCCTCACACTGACAAAACTTTGTCCTCATGTTCAGGTTGAACCTCCTGTGCTCCAGCTTGGGACCATTGCCCCTTGTTTCACGTCCCTCTTGCTGCCTGCTAAAATACACGAATCCTTGCCTGCAACATGGAAGTGATTCTGTCTTACAGCACTGCGGAGCTGTGCTCCTTGGTACTGTGCAGAGCTTTGCTGCCCATATGGGATGACTGACAGCTGTCTGCAGAGAACATAGCAAAAAGAGTCTTTGCTTTTGGGTTTTGAGAGTTAAATACATGAATGCAGTTGTCATCAAAAGTGACAGAACAGATACCTTGTTCATATATCTGATAATGTGGTTTTCAGGTGTTCTCTCCCTTGTTCAGGAAAGATGTGTTTGTTGAATTAAGGTGTAACTGCGGATCCAAGTGGGGTTTGATTTCAAGTGGTTTTCTTCCTCCACAATTGCTGTGTACAGTCCCTGGTTATGAGCTTGTTTTAAGTCCTAAGTTATTTAAAGTTGCAGGGTGGGTGCAGCTGAATGTGTAAGAATCCCAAAGTTCCTCCTACTGCAGAACAACTATATTAAATTGTGAAGGGCTGGAGATGTCAGAATTCAAGTACCAAAAGAAAAATATATCTTCAGTGCAAGAAAAGTGGCTTTTAGAATTGTGGAAAGAAAATGTATTCTTCAGGTAGCAGTTACTCACTTGGGCATATCTTCTGTAGTTATGTACGGGCTTTGCTAATCTGTCGTCTGTTGTTGACGTGTTTTGCTGCAGCTTTTGTAAAATGCTCTTTAAGTGATGTTTCAACCAACTCGTTTTTTCCCCTTTTTTAAAGGATGAATTCAAGATATGGTTTTGTGCAAAGGTTCGCGTTATGCCTTCGTTGGGAGCCAGTCCTTTACAGAATCCTAACCCTATTGTACACAAGGTTTCAAATGGCCATGCTGTTCATTTCTGTGAATCTGCTGCGGAAGAGAATAAAAATGATTTGAAAAAATATTTGCCTGTAAGTAAACTGGCAGTACTATGCCTGTTAACTTTTGATATATCTAAAGTAGTATCTAGAGTAAGCACACCCAACACTGTACACGTGAGCTGCTGCCTTTGTCTAAAAGGCTAATTCATGCTTTGGGTGGAGCCCCAATTCTTTTCTCAGCCTGTTACTGGAAATTGTGGAATGCTTTAAATATGATCTTGAAAGAAAACTCGTCATTTTTCAGTGAAGTTTCTCTAAATTCACTTTCTGTCGCTGTTCAGAATAAAGTCAGTCAGGAGAGGGGTGTTAGGCAGTGCCAATGTAATACCTATTATCTGTTGCCCTTGCAGATTCGTTATTTCACACATCACAGCGTGAAGTATTTCTGGAATGATTCAGTTCAGAGTTTTGATGTTGTACGGTAAGAATACTCTTTTGTGTTATCCTTCAAACGGCTTTTTTCTTTTTTAAAAATATAGTAGCATGCTTAAGAACAAGGTAAAAATTGGTATCGTATTCTGACCAGCTGCTTTACCTCATTGAGTCTTTGAAGCAAAGTGAGAGCAGAGAGATTTTTAACTCGGTGTGACTTTGGAGGGAAGATATTTGTTTAATCTACCTTTATTGAGCGTGATTCACATGGGGTGACAGCATGCACGTCTCTGCAGGCTTTTTGCCTGTTCTTGGAGTGTTGTTTGAGAATCAGAGCACCCGTTTATAGGCAGTGGGTTCTCCTCTTATAAACTCTTAAAAACTTTCCATCTGACGGAATAACTTATTCTTCACGTTGCTGCATAATCTAGACCCAAAAGGAGTATCAGTAAAGAGGGAAATTCACCTTGTTGAAATAACACCTTGTTGCTCACCTTTGTGTAGGTCTGTGCTGCACATTTGAGTCCCAGTTGAGGTGAATTTGGTCTCTGTGTTGTCACTCTTTAGTAACAGAAACGTGTCTCTTGCACTGATAGAAAACGTCTTGCAGCGGGCAGCGCTAGCTGCGCTCCCCAAATGTGGTGGCACTGTATTTTCTTTTATTCGACAGCACTCTTGTGTGACCTTAGGGTTGAAGAAGAGAATGCTTTTTTTTCTGATGCTACTGATCAGACCTTCTCATGATGCTAACAGGTTGAACGAACACAGGCATCTCCATTTCTGAAAACTGCTTGTTAAAATACGAAGATCAGTTCAAAAATACAACCTCTTAACTTAAATCGGTGTTCACTGCGCTGAACCATCATGTGGAAAAAGCCAAGTGCTGTATATAGAAAAAATGGAAGACCAGTAAGTGAAGGAAAGAAAAATAGCCAGAATTTCTGTAAGAAGAAACATACTCTGCAAACGTTTCTTATGTTTTGGAAAAAAGCATGTGTAAATAGTATGGGAAGTTATCAGCATTGACAACAGTGTAAATAAACTATACAAGCAGTTACAAAACTGAGCAGTCCTCCTCTGGGAGGGTGGGAATGTCTCAGTCCATGTGTAAATAATTAAAAGTTTTGTATGCATCTTTTGTGTTAAGCCTCCCATGAATTACAGTGGTGCAGGTAGTGACGCTTGTCATTTTGCATTACGGGGTCCTGTTTTCATGCCTATAGAGCTGCAAATTTCAACTGTTGAAAGGGAGTATTTCCCACAGATGAGATTAAAAAACCCTCAAAACTGTACTTTTATGCTAAGAACAAGCATGAGGTTGGGGGGGAATCCTAGAACTCAAGGTGTTTAGGAAAAAATTAATTGTTCCTTAACATTAAAGCAGTGACTTGAAACCTGGCATTTGTTGGCTGACTGTGGCTTTTGATGTTCTTGTGATAACTCAGCCAATTCTTAAGCCCTGGAAAAATCTCAGATATGCTTGTGAAGTTATGTGAGCATTTATTCAATCGCATTCTTGCTAATATGCCAAACTTTCATTTGTTTGATGTATTAGCGACGGCTGAGCCTAACCACTTGTTTAGTTTAGGTACTGTAGCTGAGCTGGGCTCCAGTATTTGGCAACTGAGTTTTAAAGAGGAGAAACAGCTGGATGTGAGACATACCTGACACTGACAGAGCACTAAGTGACTTTTGCACAAGGTCAAATAAGAATGAGAGTGAATTAGGTATGATCATTTAATGAAGTACAAGATACCACCTGCAAAATAAAGAGCTGAACTTATTAATGATAAGTGGAGCATCATAGGATGGTTTGGGTTGGAAGGGACCTTAAAGATCATTTAGTTCTAACCAATGATTAATATTCTGAAAAGAAGTCTGAAACATTTGCCCTCCATTGGGATTTTTTTCTTAGTCTGCTCTTCAGTTTCTTATGTAAAAAGCAGAAATAGGTATTACCTATTAACTTGGTGGAGAATCCAGGTAATATTTGTAATGAGACGAGATATGAGACTGAGGGCTTTGTAGTAAAATCCAGAAGGCAAGCAACACAGCTGTAGATGTGATCTAAGCACAACACTGCATCATGAAGATGAATTTTCTCTGTGTAGTCAGTTATGTGAGTATGTGGAGACAGGACGGTTTGATCACATAATTAAAGACTTGGCACAAGAGAAGCAGATTGAGATTTCTTGGGTAACTTATTCAATTATGAGAGCTCGACTTTGATATTGTTCTTTTTTTTAAATAATGTAACACGAAGATCACTGTTTTAAACACAGGAAATGCAAGTGTAATTCTTAAACTAAATCAGAGTTGGTCACATAGCCAAAGAGGATGCAACTTTGACCCCGTGTGTCTGTTTTGTTTAACTAGTGTCAACTGAATCTGACCGAGCTGATGAGTGCTTTATGTCATAAACTGTGCACACAGGGATTTGTTTTAAAAGCCTTGGAAATTCGGTACTGTAATGGTACTGTAAAAAGCAGAGAACATCCTGCTAGGAGTTTTGTCTTTGCATGGACATTACACACATAGGTATCCATGTTTGCATTTAAAGCACTTAGTTTTAGGACCTCTTCTTAAGCCCACTGTTTCATTCCTTTTTGTGCAGGAAAACAAAAATGGAATCATTTGCGATAGGATGGGAGGAAAGGCACAGCTATTAAAAGAGAATCATATATCTCTTAATCTAAAAATTGGAATTTTAAAAACCTTGAGCTTGAAAAATTATAGGTAGACTTTGTAACCCTGTGGCCAGATTCACACACTAACATTTTCACCTTCTGCTCTTCTATGAGAGGTTGGCAGAAACATGGTCCTACCCTTTGCAATAGTGAGGATGTTTAATGCTTTCTCTGTGTTCTAGAGAACGGAAATAATTCTTACTGTATATGCACAGTAAAGAGTTCTTTCTTCACTGGGACAAGTCTGAATCCGTTTTAGTAGATCGTTTGCCAATATAAAAAAAGACTTGCATTAAATAGTGCTGGTTTTGTCATGTCATCTGTGAAAGCCTTTTGGAAGGTAATGATATTTTCCATGATTTACTGAGTTTGGTAGTTGAAATGATCCCATAGCTGTAAATACAACAGTGTTTCAGGTGTGCTTACTTTTCTGCAGATCTTCTAAGTGACAGCATCTGCTTTTGCAGCATTTGGAAAAGTCCCATGAAGATGAGTCTTCTAACGATAAGGAATTACTTCAAACGTAGGCTGTGGACATGGATGAGACTTTGGTAGCAAGATGCTGCAAAACAGCAATACAGATTTATTTGGTTAATAACTGTTTCTAAAATACCTCTATTACTACTTGGAGGCAAATGAAGATAGTTTGAAGAAATATTAATCTGTGTTGATTTCATGCAATGTTTTATAAAACTTGCTCACTATTTTTTTACTTTGGAAGCCTTTCAATGCCAGTTATGCCAGTATTTTACTTCATTTTTGAGTGTATCTCCATTTCGATTGAAATAGATATGACTATAGACTACAGAGTGAGACATGTCAACAAGAGGACTGCTTTTAACATTTCATTGGTATCTGCAGTTGTGACAAAAATAGGTAGAAAAACAGTAATCCATAGACTTTGTTCTTTTATAATACAGCGTAACTCTTGGCAAAGACCTAACTCTTGAGTTACTGAATTCTTCATTTTAAATACCAGGTTTCTTAAATAACTCATTGGCTTTTTCCCTTCACCTAGAGGTCTGGATGAATCTACATTCTGCTCTTCAATTCATAATGAGCACAGCACGGGCCTGACGAAGGGGATGCATGATTACAGGTAACGTTACACTGTTTGAGGGAGGAATGGGTTTTTTGTTCCATTTCCTGTGCTCAAAGCCTTAACAAAACTAGAAGGCAGTTGAGTGGTTAGTGTTTACAGACAGCCTCTTACTCTGCCTTTGATGAAGGCTGAGAGATGTACGAAGTTCTAGTTTTTCTTACCTATAGGTTCAGTAGGAACTAGTCTCCCCTACTGTGTTTCTTGTACTGCACTCACTGACCATGGGAATTGGCGCTATTGCTTAAAATAACGGTAGGATAGATTTCTGAAATTGTGTTTGCTACTTAACATTTTGAAATAAAATGAGTGTACAAGAAGAATACCAACAGTTATACCACGTTGGCAGGTATGCAGTGAAATTTGGCGGTTGATGTAAAACAAAGTTGTTGTTTTTCCACATAACTCGCCCTTAAGTGACAGAAATGTGGCCATAACATATGTCACTGTTGAGGGATGTTTTTGGGCTCAGAGGCATAGGCTGATCCCCAGTGGAAAAGTTCACCAAGGGCTCTTTACTCTGCCTGAAGCTGCAGACTGTTGAATGCTCGAAGGGAGCGCCAGGGGACATCACTCTGCTTCTTGATTCTTTCCCATCCTTGGCTAGTGGTCGTTGTGAGAAAAAGGGTACTGAATAGCTAAGAAAGAATATTTGATGCTAGGAAGCAGCAAACCTGGCCTAAACTGTAACTAATTTCTTATTTTAGGAAGATCAGGCTGAAACTTTGCAGGACTTCAGCTTTCATTTTAAAAGCTTAGTTGGTATCCGAGATGTCCCCCGTAGCTTGCATGGATCTGTCTCTGGTTGCATGCCACTCTCTTAATTCTGGTTGGCAAGAAATACTGTGAAAAAATACTAATATTTTAACATGCTATTTTAGACTAACTGTGTAAGCATGCCTGTCAAGCATACTTAAGTGGATAGTTAGAGAAGAACTTAGCCTAGAAAAAACCTTTAAAGTGTGGCTTTAGTGGTGTATAGTGCAGGGATTTCTCAGTTCTCAAATGTGAGCAGCAAGCTGGAATGTGTATTGTAAAAATGCAGATACATATTTATCAGTGTTCTGATTTATTGATACCATTACCCAAACCAGAATAGACTTGAATAGTTTAGATTCTGTTGCGTTCCTGGTTAGTGGGTTTCTTGTTTGGTTGGTTTGTTTTTTGTGTTTTAATTTTTGAAATGAGACCTTCTTAGAGTTTAACATATGGAAGTATCTGCTTGCTCTTCAGTCTATTTCCTGTCAATCTGTGGCTTTTTCCACAAGAGAAGTATTTTCCTTAAGAACATCCTTCAAGGGCTTCTTCATGTCAGTGTCAGATCTCATCAGAGGTTAATGAATTCTTTTCCTTTTCATGATTTGCCTTTCTTTATGCTAAGAATAAAACTAAGCTACAGGACCATGAAAACAGTAGCTTACTGCAGGGTAAGAGTTATACTTGTTTGAGCTTAACTTAAGGAGAACCCCATATTTGCTTTCAGAATGGTACGTTTAATAACATTGGGCCTATACACGGTTCACAGGGAAATCTTATTGTGAAAGAACCTAAGAATTAAATTGCCATTTAAATTGAAGTATAAAATAATTATCTTCATATTGGAACATCCCAGTGGGCAAATGTTTTCTGGTAATGCCTTTAGAAATAGTACGATAAATAAAAGGTGCCACAGATTAAGTAGTATTTCAGATTTTCTCATATTAATAGATTACTTTGAAATCAATAAGATTTCTAATAAAAAAACTTAACTGTCTTTCACTATTTGTCTTCTTTTTAATATAGAAAAGCATTCTATGGAGTAAATGAAATTGCTGTGAAAGTGCCTTCCATTTTTAAGCTTCTGATTAAGGAGGTAATACCTTTTCTTTAACAAATTTTTTAAAAAGTAGATCATTAAGAGTTACTTGAAGTACAGTGACTGTTGGACTGGTCTTCAAATAGTGTAGAACAGAAATCTTACCCCAGAGCCCAGCACCGTAAAGCAAAATGATACAGACCTTTGTTTATGAGCTGTCCAAGCTTAAGAGGCCTGAGCTGTGGGCTCTTCGGAGTTCACAACCTGGTGCCTTAGCAAGAAGCTTAGAAAATGTGTTAGAATCCTTTGAGAGGGTATGCATCTTATTTATTTGTTGTTGTTAATTTGAGACATAAACTGACTGATTTGTTTTCTCCATTGTCAGCCCAGGGGTTGTATATCACAGTGTAAGCATCAGGTCAAATGTGTTCTTGCGTATGCTTTTGTTGGATTTGTTCCATTTTCCTTTTATCATGTGAATTTGAATAACTGACTTGTTATCCATGTGCTGTAATCATGCATGGTAGAAACTTCTGAACAGAGAAGCTCTCCAACCTGAACTAGCGGAGTAAGAGCTTGAGGTGTCGGGGCATTTAATAAGAATTAGATAGTAACATCCAAATTAATCTAAGAATTGTGACTTCAGGTGCATCAGATATTCCTGTAATTTTGCTTTGAGGTGTAGAGGAGAATGCCCACAGTCTTGAAAGTTTGTATTCGTGTATTATTTTAGTGAGAAATGTGCTTTTGAGGGGTTGAGGAGGTAGGGAGCAGTTTGGCAAAACAGACAAAAACCAGGTATAAAGAACTGAGAGGTTTATCTCCTCTATGGACGAGGAGGATGTGTCTGACTTTTACGATGCAAAACGCATGTGACCTTTTGGTGTAACTTTAATGTTTGTCTTTCTTCTAGGTTCTCAACCCTTTTTACATTTTTCAGTTGTTCAGTGTGATATTGTGGATCACTGATGAATATCACTACTATGCATTAGCAATTGTGATCATGTCTGTAATATCCATCGTTAGCTCGCTCTACACCATTAGAAAGGTAAGTTCAAAGAAAACAGATGCATCTTTTCAGCTTTTTATTGATTTATTTTTTTTTTAATGTGAAATTGCCTGCAAGTCTTCAAGAATTTTTCAGAGGTATACAGGTAGAATGTTGTTACAGGTTTTCCCTCTTGGAGCTGAAATGATTTTGATTTACAGTTCTCTTTGAGACCCTTCTCTGCTGACTGTTGGTTGACAGTCGGCTTAACATGAGCCAGCACTGTGCCCACGTGGCCAGAAAAGCCAATGGCATCTTGGCCTGTATTAAAAACAGTGTGACCAGCAGGGCCAGGGAGGTGATCAGGGGGATCCCTGTACTCGGCACTGGTGAGGCCACACC